AAAGATAGATGAAAAATGTATATATATTAAAACTTGATGGATTAAAAATATGTAAATTTAGATAAATTTAATAAATTAACGGACAGAATAACTAAAAAATACATTTTTTTATAGTTAAAGAACAAAAAAATTGCATAAAAAAGTTAAGAAATAAAATTATGTAAATTTTAAAGTTGAGTATTTAAAATTAACATTTAACCTTTATTTTATTTGTAGTTCTAGATTTTTTTACACAGATTAAGAAATTTATTTAATAGACTTTATTACGGCCATATTTAGTATTAAATTTACTCATTCACTATTTTTTATTTCTTAAAAATAAAGTTTCTTTATTATTGTCAAAATTTATTAGGATATAAATTAAAAAAAATAAAAAAATTAATGACATTTTAAAATGTGAGAATGTCAAATAATGTGAAACAAAAATAACTTTTTAAATTGACTAATAAAATAAACAGAGGGAGTAATTACAACAATTATTGAGTAGATTGTCATCTTACATAATACTAATTTGTTATTAAATTAGTATATAAATATAATGCTATGAGTAGATCATGAAAAAAATAAGTCAACCAAATAATAATGTGTCATGATCATAAAATGTTACGTGATATTATAAATTTATAATTATATTATTTTTAAAATGTTATTATATGCCTTGTAAAAGAATTTTACAATTTTTATGATAACAGCAATTATTTTTAACTTCTTTTACTTGAAAAACATGTAAATTATATGTATATTCTAAGTTAAGGTAACATCACTTTTATAGAACTTTGTAAAACATTTTATGCATTGAGTTTAGTTTGTAATAATGAGTTTAAAAAGTGGTTACCCTTTTGTTAATTATGTAAAGACCCAGCTTTTCTGCAAGTTCCACCATATGCATCATCAATTAAAGCGACTCCATGGTCCAATAGATTTGCTTCCTCCATCTTTTCAAAGGAAATTTGTGTACCTTTATTGTTAATTTGCCTAGCTTTTTTGTTAATTATAGTGTCATTATGTTGTCAGATTGGGCTCAATTTTTGGGCTCCTTTCATGGGCCTCTTCGCTCAAGTAAGTCATTCTTTGATGGACTGGGTTTATCCAGGCTCTAACAAGGAGCTAGGCCCAACTTTGCTTAGGAAATTGTTAATTTTTTAGCTATTGGGTAATGTTGGTCTTGTTCTGTTGTTAGATAGCCTTTCTATTTTAAGGCTGCGCGATAACTATAACGGTAGTTTTTTTGATGGTTTAATATTTCAAATATAAAATATGTGTTTAATATTTATATTGATTAATATTATATATATTTTTAAGATTATAAAATGATAGAAAAAATTACAGTTAAAACACCCTACAGTGTTAGGCTCAGTTTTGGGCTTATTTTATGGGTCTCTTTGCTCTTCCATGAAGTCATCTATTGATGGAACTAGGCTCTAAAACAAGGAGTTGGGCCCAACTTTACTTTGGAAAGCAAGTTGCTTGCCTCTGAGAAAAGACCTCAAATTTGAGCATTTGTTAATCAAGCAAAGCTGAGAACAACAATCCCATATTCTAGTACTTTATCAAACAAAGCTGAAATACATACTGAACATAGGAAGTAACCTCAACGGACTAATTAACAACAGACAGAAACTATATTTTCTCTCCTTAGAAAGCCAACTACATAGATCCTATCATACAAGCTCTGTTCTTTTGCAGGAATGAATCAGTTACCATGACAGACTCAGTCCTTCTCCTCATCCTCTTCATCCTCCTAGAAATGCAAAAACCGATTGGTATCTTGAGAATTTAGAGGGATACATATATAGTCTCGAGTTAAAAATTCCCCAAAAAGTAGAGAATGCAAGGATAAAGGCTTGAACCGATTACCTCTTCACTGTCCTCATAATCTTTGTCATGTGTTTTAGATTTTGACTTCTCCGATCCTTCTTCTTCTTCATCATCATCGGTACTTTCCTGAGTTAAATATCAAAGGGTCAGTGCTTGGGAGAATACTCCGATTTAGAGAAGAGTTACTCATTTATTTCTTGCAAATGAGGGGGTTAAACACCTGTCTTTTGTTGTATGCTGTCATAAGCTTCTGATATTCTCCTTTCAATTTTGCTGATTTTGCTTCATATGGAGCTTTTTCCTATCATTTCAGTTGCAGTTCCCATAGAAACCAGAGGGATATATTTAATTAGTATTGCATTTTGGAAATCAAGCAATCAAGGCATAGGTAGAGATAGCAGAACCTACTAATACAAGTATTTTCTGGAAAGTATTTTAGCACTTACTGCATCAGACATGGACTTCCACTTCTCTCCCCCAGCTTTGCCCACCTAGGATCACAAGAAACCACAACTACCCTGGATAAAGTGTTCAATTCAATTTTATAGCAAAATTTTCCTACTTAATACATGATACTGGCTTCAAACTTACAGCTGAGACAGCCTTCACTTTTGGATGTTCTTGTTTGTAGATCTTTCTGAACTCTTCTCTGCATGAATTATTTCAGTTTACATGTATGATAGCATTTGTAAAAATAGAAGGAAAAATTTAACCCCATTGGAGAGCACTTACAGAAACACAAAGAAAGCAGTAGGAGGTCTCTTGGGTTTGTTAGGGTCTTTCTTCACTTGCTTCTTGATAATCTTATCAGCTTGGATAGCTGCCTTCCGCTTTCCAACCGTCCTAAACAGAATGATTTTGTACGTGATAATCACAAATAAAAGTATCAAATTGGACGAATCATTGAAGTTCCTTACTCTATCATGAAACGAAATTAGAAGCTGATAATATACCAAATACAACAGAAGCTAGTTTTTTTTTTAAGATCAGCAAGCAACAGAAGTTAGTTAAAACAACTAGTCATGAGAGAAAAATATTCCCATTACAAAATCCATTAGTATCATTACAGTCATCTAAAATACATTAAATGTAATATTGACATTTAATTAGAATATCAAATTATCAATTAGCATATCTTAACAACTGACTTCAAGAATTAACAGAAAGAAACAAACCTGTCTTGAGTGGGCTTTACTGCTTCATTTTTATCCTTTGTTGCAGCCCTTTTGCTCCTAGTAACCTTCATTCTTTCAAGAAAGTTGCCTGAAATATACTAGAAAACGTAACTAAACTTGTTTTCACTACATGGATCACACCATTTCACTAACAAAAATTTAAGAATTGAGACTTGGATAAATCTAGCTTCGTGCTCATGCATAAGCTCTCCGTGATCAGAGTGGCAAGACCATTGTGCTTATTGAAACTGCCCAAGTTAAGACCCTATTCAGGTAACAACTCTTAGGGCTGAAAATCTGAGATCCCCTCAAAGCTCAAACTCAAGTTGTTAATACTTAATAGTATCTAGTCTTGACAGTGTCAAAATCTTGTTACTTGGAACTTAAAGCAGTGTTATTTACTTAAGCAGAGAGCAGACAGAATACCCAGATGGCAGCAATGGAGAAAGAAACAACAGTAAACAAGATCATGGCAAAAACACCACAAAACAATCCAAAAACCAAGTTAACATGTTTAAACTTAGTAACCCAAGTGATGATATTGTAAAAGGGATCGATCACAAACCTCTTCTATGGGAGCTCAAGAGATTGAAGAACAAGAAGAAAGGCAGGGCAAGAAAAAACAGATGAAAGGAAGGAAAAGATGCCCGTAAGATTTTTGTAGGACGTCCATCAATGACAGAATACCCAGATGGCAGCAATGGAGAAAGAAACAACAGTAAACAAGATCATAGCAAAAACACCACAAAACAATCCAAAAACCAATTTAACATGTTTAAACTTAGTAACCCAAGTAATGATATTGTAAAAGAGATCGATTACATACCTCTTCTATGGGATCTTAAGAGATTGAAGAACAAGAAAGAAGGCAGGGCAAGAAAAAACAGAGGCAAGGAAGGAAAAGATGCCCATTAAGATATTTGCAGGAAGTCCATCTATGACACATGGCGACTAATCAGAGGAAGAATGAATGTTGACTACAGTATTTTGTCGTTTTGTTGCTGATCCCGTCACCTGCAGAGGATGTAAAGCAACCTTTGACCCTCAAGGCGCTCAACCTCCTTAGTTTATGATTGGTTAACACCAAACCTTTCACAAATGCAGTGTCTCTGTCATTCTTTCCTTGGTTACCCCTGTGTCAGGTGACTGCTTCATCTTCTCGACTTAATGTCGGGTTTATGGTCTTGAAACTGTTTGATAGAATGCCACTGTCACGGAGAACAGGGGAAACAAAAGGACCCACAGAATGAGAAAAAGGAGCCATCAACCATTCATACGCAACAACCAGCAGATAAGGCAAAGATAAGGCCCCTGTAATTCTTATTCATATCCGTCAGCTTCCAATCACATACACACAACATAAATATATCTTTTGAATCCATTTCTGTAGCCACTTATATATACTTTACGTAGATACACTTGTGACCACAAGAGTCGAGACCACCGGAACCCAGATCGATTTCGGCAATGGCCACCACCACAGCAGCTGCCTCCTCCCATTTATTTGGAACCCGTGTCCTTACCCAGAAGCCAAGTTCTGCAAAATTCCAAGCAAGATTCGGGTTTTTGAAAAAGAAAGCTCCAAAACCCCCAAAAAAATCAACCGCAAAGCCAAAACCCCCACCATCAGACCGTCTGGTATGGTTTCCGGGTGCCAACCCGCCGGAATGGCTCGATGGGACCATGATCGGGGATCGTGGGTTCGATCCTTTCGGGTTGGGAAAACCCGCGGAGTACTTGCAGTTCGATTTAGACTCGTTGGACCAGAACTTGGCGAAGAACGAGGCTGGGGAGATTATCGGGGTGAGGACGGAGACCACGGAGATAAAACCGACCCCGTTTCAGCCTTACACGGAGGTGTTCGGGTTGCAGAGGTTCAGAGAGTGCGAGCTGATTCATGGGAGATGGGCAATGCTGGGCACTCTCGGCGCTATCGCCGTGGAGGCACTCACCGGTGTTACGTGGCAAGACGCCGGAAAGGTACGCCGTACAATCCATACGTCCGACAATGCTATAATTTTAAATTATTAAGCAATAAACTTTTCTTTTTTTAAAAAATAAAATCTTAATACCTTAAATATAAAAAAATAAAGATAAAAAATCAAAAACAGAAACATTTTATGTTTTGTATTGTATTTGGATTGAATTTCTATGTTTTTATTTTGTATGAAATTTGGAGTGCATATTTTTTCAACAATTCTAAGATTAGTTGTTGAACTATATCAAATAATTGATATTTAAGAAAAAAAAATATTTATCAGTCATATATTTATAAAAAAAATTAAGTGAAAAATATTTTAATTTAATAAATTTTTATTTAAAAAATTAAAACTACTTAAATTTTAAGGTAAGAGTAAAATTATTTTAGTTTTTATTTTATTAAAATGATTTAATTTTAATTTTTTTGTTTTTTA